GCGGGAGTTCGAGAGCAAGCTCTCCGAAGCCTTGCAGGAGCTGCGGAGCCAGCACGAAGCCCAGATCAGGCTTTACAAGGAGGAACTGGAGAAGACCTACGGGGCGAAGGTGAGCAGCACCCACACGCCGCCGTCCTCTTCCCGCCCTGGCCCGCGGAGTGCCGGTGGGCAGAGGGTGCTGGGGATGCTTACCCATCATTTTTTCCTCCAGCTGGAGAATGCCAAGCAGTCGGCTGAGAGGAACAGCAACATGGTGGGTGCTGCCCACGAGGAGCTGCAGCAAACCCGCATCCGCATCGACAACCTCTCCTCTGAAGTCAGCCAGCTGCAGAAGCAGGTGAGTCAGGAGCAAGGGATTCCTCTGGATGTCTGCTCCCAGGGATGGTCCTCTCCTGGGGATGGTCCTCTCCTGGGGATGGTCCCCTCCCACGAGGAGCTGCAGCAAACCCGCATCCGCATCGACAACCTCTCCTCTGAAGTCAGCCAGCTGCAGAAGCAGGTGAGTCAGGAGCAAGGGATTCCTCTGGATGTCTGCTCCCAGGGATGGTCCTCTCCTGGGGATGGTCCTCTCCTGGGGATGGTCCCAGGTGGAGCAGCCACCCTCGTCTTCCCTCTCAATGCAGTTGGCTGCCAAGGAGGCGAAGCTGCACGATTTGGAGGATATTCTGGCCAGGGAACGCGAGACCAACCGTCGCCTGCTCTCCGACAAGGAGCGGGAGATGGCCGAGATGCGGGCACGCATGCAGCAGCAGTTGGATGAGTACCAGGAGCTGCTGGACATCAAACTGGCTCTGGACATGGAGATCAATGCTTACCGCAAGCTGCTGGAGGGCGAGGAGGAGAGGTGAGCGTGGGGTCCTGCACCCAGTGGGCTATGTGGGTCCCAGCCCTCGTGTCCACACTGGCTCCATCTCCTCTTCTCCTCCTAGGCTGTCCCCCAGCCCTTCCTCCCACAAAGGCGCGTCCCGTAGCCACTTGTCCACCCCGGGCTCCTCCAAGAAGAGAAAGCTGGAGGACAGCGAGAGTCGGACCAGCTTTTCCCATCACGCCCGGACAAGCGGTCGTGTCGGCGTGGAGGAGGTGGACTTGGAGGGCAGATTCGTCCGTCTCAGGAACAAGTCCAACGAGGTGCGTTTGCCTTCGGGGAGGATCCCTGGGGGTTCAGCCCCACTTCACCCCACGGGCAGGAGGTGAACCGGGACAAGCTGGAGAGGAACCGGGAGAATCTCACAGTTGCTCGTCTCTCGCTCTCTTACAGGACCAGGCGATGGGGAATTGGCAGCTCACTTAGATTGGAGATGATCCCCCCATCACCTACCGCTTCCCCCCAAAATTCACCCTGAAGGCCGGCCAGGTGGTCACGGTGAGTCACTGCCCGGTGAAGGATCCGGCCGAGATCCCAAACGCAACCAGGCTGTTGATGACGCAGCGCGGTTGGAGCCAGGGTGCAGGCTCCTTGGCACGTGGCTTTTTTTTTGGGGGGGGGGACACAGACACACGTCCCTAGGGTCTGGGTTTTGCAGACCTGAGATGTTTTTTTTCTCTGTGCTTTTCTCCTTAGATCTGGGCCTCGGGTGCTGGGGCGACCCATAGCCCCCCCAGTAACGTGGTGTGGAAAGCCCAGAGCAGTTGGGGCTCAGGGGACAGCCTGCGCACCGCCCTGATCAACTCCAACGGGGAGGTGAGAGCCCCATGGTAGCACTGGGATGGGGTACGGGGGGGTCGGCAGACACCAAACCCCCCCTCCCCAACTCCTTTCCTGTCCCCTGTAGGAAGTGGCCATGCGGAAACTGGTCCGCACCGTGATTATCAACGATGAAGATGAGGATGAGGACGACGATGAGGTTAACATCCATCACCGCCATCACCATGTGAGTACCACGCTGGGGAAGGCGCTGGGTCCCAGGGGGGTCTGTCGCAGGGGTACTGGTACAGCTTGGGTGTGGTCCTAGTCAGGGCGGGAGGCAGCTCAGCATCACACAGGATCAGGCCTTATGGGAGAAGGCAGCTGGGAGGCTGCTGTGGAAACAACCACACAGGAGAAACCAAGAGACCTCTGGCACCTGGAGAAGATTACTGCTTGCCAAAAAAAGCTTTGTAGATCTCGGTGGAAGTCATCTCCAACCCTGAGCAACCTTGATCTGCCACGAAAAGGGCTGGAGGAGCCGGGAGGGAGGCCGAGCTGGTGCCTCGCATCGCTTGGAGGTGGAGGACAGGATGGTGGGAAGTTGATGGACGACACTTCTCCGCGCCAGCTGCTCCGTCCTCTCCACTTCACGAGGGTGCTGGACCAAATCCAGAGGTGATTTTGTCCTTCCTCTCAGCCCATCGCTCTCCTCACGGAGCTGAAATATGCACCAGGACAAAGAGCGGGCAGAGAGCAGGCAGCCTGCCAGGAGCAGAACTGCAGCCGCTTCTCTTATCAAAGAAAACATCCCTGGCTGCAGCCCAGGAGCCCCCACCAGCCCATCCCGCAGGGAGAGATCTGTCTTGCACACGAGATGCCCGCAGGAATCGTGGGTGGAGAGATGCCATCACCGCCACGCTGTGCCCCAACACTGGTGAAAAATTTGCTGGCTGCGGCTCCCTGGGGCTTTGTGTGACAGGAGCAGGATGGAGCATCCATCATCCACTTTCCTTTGAGTTCTCTGGGTCTGAAGAGCCGGGTCAAGATGGATATCGATTATCCCTGGACAGAGGAGCCAAGCTCCTGCGGGCCAGTCCTGCCCATTCATCTGGGGGCTGAATCCTTTCCAAGAGCAAATTTCCCATTGGAAAGCAGTCAGCTTACGCTCTCCCAGGCAGCGAGGAAGAGGATGCTCTTAGATAAGCCCAAGAGAAGCGCAGTTAAGATGTCTGAGAGTCCAGGGTGCAAGGACGGGGCAGGAGGGATGGTTCACCCATCTCCAGGGGGCCAACCCCAGTAATTTGGGATTATAAATCTAATAATTGTAATAATTTATTATTTTTAAACCACATGATGGAGAGGATGGGTGGAGTGCAGACCCTCTTTGAACATTAACCTGAGGACCCCTCCTGGGTCACACCGACGCTGCCGCGGTCCTCGGGGCAGGGTGCTCGAGGCAGAAGATGCTTGGGCAGGTGCTCAAGGTGATTTTTGTCTGTTCCCCC